CAAGAATCGAAAGAACAAGAAAGAATAAGAAACGAAAGATCAATTGGGGCTTTGATCGTGACACCCGACAAGAAACGTTGTCGGATAACTGGATCCGGGGGCGGCTCCCAAACATGTCCAACCCGAGCCTTCGCCCACCCAATTCGCCTTGGAAACAAAGAACAAGGAGACTAATCGAGCGAGTACCGTGAAGTCTCTGCTTATTCCTCACAAAATCTGAGATGAATAAGTTAATCTAACACCATCAACGGGTGGATCCGCAACAAAGTCTTTGATTTGCTATGCATTCATAAGAACAACATACCGACGGGCATGAAGCATGAATTAACCGAGACTTGGGAAGCAAATGGTATATCATCATAAGAACAGTCGATTACCCATTCCGCAGAATCAAATAACAAATTCCCGGCTGAAATCCTAGAAGAGACGCATAATTTTCCGACCTACCTGGAAGAAGCAGCCACCGATCCGAGCAAACCAGGTTGTTGAAGGCGTGACGCCAACCCCTCGGAGCCGGGCGACAACTCCACGAGTCACCTCCCGACGAATCACCGCCCACGCCGGTGCTGCTGCGGTCGACTCGACACCGCAACTCCTCTTGAATGATTTGTGCATTCCAACCCTAGATCGAATCTTTACCGAGAAGACGCTCGCACGGAGACAGGCGAAAGCGGAGGAAGTGACGCGTGACGTGCCGTCCCGTCGGGCCTCTCCGCTGGCAGTGGACCCTCTCCAACCTTAAATACTCCGCTTTGCATGGTGTCCGCTGAGATAGGCCCCACCAAAATCAGTGGCTCCAATTCAGCCTCCACTTTGGGGGCTGGGGGGAGGTCCAGCTTTACATCAAGACCGTCCACTAATGTTGGCCCCATTGGTCAGATCAATCAACGCCCCTATGATCTAAAATTTCTTTATGTGCTTAGTATTAAATACATATCGCTACACATTTATGCCGAACTATTATCCTCTCACAAAGACCACGTAAACTTAGTCAAGCCGAACACGATGCCCTCATGGATATCTTAAAAGTATAATTAGTGCCATAATCCTGGTTTGACGAAAACAAAGGTGACACCTTAAAATAGACTTGGCATGAAAGAAAGAACTGTTGTTATTGGTGTTTGTTTGCTGCCTGCCAGCTTCTTCTATTGTGGGAGCCCTATCCACCGAGAAACGTAGCCACGTAAAGCAAAAAGCTAAAGGTGCGCTTCGCTCTCTCTCTCTGCTCTATGTATATATATATATACATATATAATATATATATCACTTTTGTTTTGTCACTCAAAGTTCACAGGAGTCCTATACACTTTTCTCCTTTTTCTACCCAACATTGCATCCCAAAACCTCGATCTCCAAGTCACACCAACATGCATGCACCCATGTCCAACTGTGGGCACCTGTCTCTGTCTTTGCAGTGACAAGGGCAGGGTGGGATGCATGTTCTCATGTATACGCAGGCGCTTTATCTAGTCATCAGGCAACCTAAAGCAAAGCAGATTACACGACGCTGGCGACGTTGGAGTCAGCGAACAGGGAAGAAGAAAAGTGGGGACGAATCTCTTTGGATTTTGCCGTCCCATACTTTCACTTTGCTCATCTTCTCCTCGCACCACCGCAGCTGCTCTTGGCTGATCTCAGGCATCCTTAGGACTCTGGACACGATCTTCATGTCTATTAGACCCATCAATATCTCCATATCCTCTTCTCCTTTTCGCTTCTTCTTCGTCAGACACCTTCTTCGCTTCGAGAGATCCTTAAGCCTCGTCTTGTTCTGAAATGAAGATATCGTGTCCGTATGAGTATACAAGGAAAAAGAAGAGCAGAAGTAGAAGAGGCAGTGCATGAATGACCCACTTTCTTATTAGTTCTTTTGAGAAGACGAAGAAGATTTGGATCCACCGAACTGGGCTTTGTCTTGAAGAAAGCTTTGAGCGTTTGGCAAGGATTCGCCGTGTCTGCCTTGAGGAAGTTCATGAAGGTTCGAATCGCATCTTCGAGAATCGCCAAGAACTCGGTGGATGAGATCATTTCTTCTTTACCTTCATCTTCTTCTGTATCCTTTGAGGTCAGTGATGCAGAGAGAGAGGTAAGCACTTGGGAAAGTCTACAAGGTAGGCAATGAGGCAAAGGAGACAGGTGTGTAGCAACCTCGGAACTCAGGAACTAGGAGCAACTTTGGAGAAGAAATCCGCTTCCACGCGAAGACTTGGGGCCTCCGACCACGCTCATAAGGCTCATTTTCTATGAATCGCTGCAAGAGGACCTGGAACTGTTGGAATTGCTGAGCTATCCATGCGGTGCAAGAAGAGCTTTCGCTGTCTGATCCCTTGGCAATCTTTTGCCAAAAGTTGGTGTAATTCCAGTTAAGAACTTCCCATGCGAGGCAAATCTGAGACACATAAGCACCCTCCAGTTCTTGATACGGATCCCTGCTTCCCCTGTTCTTGTGTGTTGTAAATATGTGAGCTATCCTTTGCGAGGTTGATCTTGGTTGGAACTTCATCGATCTAACCAATTCTGAAAATTACGATATACGTGATCTTGTCAATCCGTGAACCAAATTTGTTGAGAGAGGATGTGAGAAATGCATGACGAGTGACCTGTTTCCGTCAGCTTTTGTGCGCTGATTCTATCGAAGAAGATCATCTCCTCCTCGTACTTGCGGAACAAGGTGTACGTTTCCCAGTTGGAAGAGCTCCTGCGTGATGAGGAGGAGAAGGGGCATTCTGTCTCCGAGTCCCTGAAGATCGTGGAGCTTCTCCACTCCATAGAGCTCTTGGATGTCGATGCACCTGTGAGAGAACCACCGAACGTGTCCTCCTCCAGCTTCTCATCTCCATTGCTGTGGAGCGCATCCCCACCCGTATCTTCATCTGTAATCAACAGCATAAGCAATATCAACAGAAGGCTTTATGCTTCCAACAAGTAGTGGCATCTAAAGGGACCTTTTAGAGGCCCATTAGATATGATTGAAGGTGGATGATTCGATGGTTTTACGTCGACGATCGCCACAACATCGCCATGCTCGAGCCCGAGACCTTCATGCTCTTCCAGAGGGGATTCTGCGACAAAGCTTTCGTCGACTTTGAAGGCGTGTCGCTCATCCAAGTCTTTTGCTTCTTCGAGAAGTGGGGTATCAGCAGTGATGCTTTCGTTGTAGAAAAACAGTAGGCCGTCTTCCCTGCCAAAGATGCTGGCAGCTAACTCTTCGACATCAGAGTAGCACTCGTACGTTGTTATGGGCTTTATCTCATCTTTGCTGATGAGCTGCGAATTCCTGCAATAGAAGGTTAGTAAAGAGACAGTAAGAAAGAGAGGATCAACGTAGTTGAGTACCTTTGTTCTGTTGAAGCGGCAACTCTTTCAAGGAGGAAGGTGAACAGCTTGGTAAGGAGGAAGGTGACGAGGTGGAGGAGGACGAGGAAGGCGGAGACATGGAAGACAAACATCACAGCCTAGTCTTGGGAGGTTTGGCCATGTCAAGAGAGATGAGAAACTGGTTCGCTGGGAGCTTGCAGGCCAATCACTCGGAGGAATGCAAGGGGGAGACTGCTGATGTTCATTTATGAGGGTGGGGTGGTGGTAATGTGTGTTGCAGCGAGCGCGATGAT